TCTCTTTGGATTTGAGACTTTAGTCTTTGCAACTTTACAGATCTTCTTTATGCACCAAGAGCTTGTAACACTTCAAAGAGAAAGGAAAAATTTTAATTGCATTATATGACCCCTTTAATTTAGAATTTAGTGTTTGATAACTTCAATTTCTGTATATTTCTGCTGTAGGGCACAGGTAAATATGACATTTATTATAATGGGTTTATGTGAAAATTGTTTCAGGTTCACTTAAATTAGAAGTTACTTTAACTTCTAATAAATGTTAAAATTGATAGCTCTCAATTATACTGTAGTGTTGAATGGCTATAGTCAATGGTTAAATATTAGGGGGGAAAAGAACAACTTCATAGAGTCATCAGTAGTATTGGTATCATGATACTCACCTTCAGTCATAAAAAAGCTAAAATGCCACTAAACAAATATTAAAAAATATACTGTCCTTATGTTGTTTCCACATTAATTTGACATGACGTGACGTGACATGTGGCCAAGTATGGTTACCCATACTAGGAATTAGTGCTCTGCATTTAACCCATCCTTAGTATTTACAGGGGCCTTTTTTTTACCTTTGTAATGGCATTGTTCTAACTTTATTAAAAGTGTCAAATTGAAAATTTATGTTTATAAGCTTTTTCATAATTTCTAATTAAGACAAAAGAATAAGAACAAGCAGAATAAGTTACCAATCAGATTTCATTTACGCTACAGAGCTGCACAGAAGAACACAAAAATGGCATGAAGGCATATTTACAGACATTTAATGAGGCTCAGAGGTAGCATGAGTGCAATTAAATTCATGTGGAGATTAATGTTTTAAATATAAAATTTTGAATAAAGAAATATGATTTAAATAACTGAAACAAGGTAAAAATGAAACTAAATCCGCCAGCAGGTGGCGGCAAGTCGCTGATTTTAATCACTGAATCATTCGCGACGGAACTTTAATCCCTGATAATATATTATAATATAATATAATATAATATAATATAATATAATATAATATAATATAATATAATATAATATAATATAATATAATATAATATAATATAATATAATATAATATAATATAATATAATATAATATAATATAATATAATATAATATAATATATAATATAATAACTTGATTGCCTCTATGACAGGAGTAGGGCTAGCAATCAATCAAATATTACAGAAAATTGCTTTTGCATGATGCTTTGGTTCATGAATGTCAGCATTCTTCTGTGGAAATCTAAACTAAAATTCTCAGTAAAATAATAAGATGTCAAATTCAATGTCCTTACAAACAACATCCACACAACTAGTATAGTTTGATTTGAGAGTGAATGATTCTTATGAGTCGATTCTTTTGAATGATTAATGAATCCAGTTAAAGACACACATCCGGAGTTCTATTTTAATAAATGCTACTAAAACAGTGCTTTGAAGATTTGATAAATGAAACTGTGTCTTTATCAGACAAAAAAGTGAATTCACCCATTTTCCAATCGCCCATAACTTGCCGATAACTAGTTAGTGAACATGCTTAGATGGCATCTTCAACACTTCCAGTGTAGGGAACTTCAAGTCGAAAGGTTGCTTATAAACATTGGTATAAACATGTATTAAGTGGAAACGAGAATTGGACAATACCTTATGGTTACCAATCTAGACAGGTGTTAATGGATCTGCGATGAACAAGTCAGTAAATACCACAAACATCTGCAAATAAGATATAATAAAACACTTCAAAATGGTTGTTATGGCTAAACCAAAGCTAAACTCGCCCGTCACATCGTCCGGTCCAGTATCTTATGCAAACTGCTGATTAAAAGCAAAAAAACGTTACATAGCTGTAATTGATTACGACAAGATCACAATAAGTGAAGTGACACATCAGGGAGGGGAGCACGCTACATAGTAATCAAGATGCCGCTGGCTATTTAGCCCGCCATTGTCTTAAACTTGCTGGCTATACGGCTTTGTGTTTGGACAATGTGAAGGATTAGCGCTCGCTAGTGTAATTATCTAAGCTGAGAGAAGTCGTGGCCTAATTTCCAGCCTCCTCAGTCATACGTAACCTAGATGAAAAGGAGTCGCTTTCAGCACACAGGCCCCTGTGCCCAGATTAATTAAAACAATATTGAGCTTTGCTGAATAAATTCATCCACACACGCACACAATCACATGCACACATCCCTCCCCCTTTGCTCTGACCGCGTCTTTCATGGGCCTAATTTGAGCTTTCACTCCAAATCTCATCCCTGCTGTCAGCATGCCTGTCTCAAGCCGAAAGCATCCCATGGTTCCACTCTTTCAGAAACACACATGCAATAAACAGTGAATGCTCAAGCAATATGGGCTTTTCTATGGAGTCGACATAGAGCAAAACGACCAACACAACACACAACACACAACACATAACATAACATCACATATAACATATCATCACATAACATAACACAAAACATAACAACACATATCACAACACAACATATAACAACATAAAATAACATATGGGTGCTAAGGTTTTTGTTGGGAAATAATAATTTTAACATAATTCTTTATGATAACAATTCTAATGATACAATCATCATCATCATCATCATCATTGTCAATACATAATAGGTTATAATATATTGGAAATAATAATAATGATAATAAGACGAAATAATCTTCATCTTCATAATATAATATAATATAATATAATATAATATACGAGTGCTAAGGTTTTTGCTGGGAAATAATTTATAATATATAATTAAAAGTAATATAATATATAGGAAATAATCATCATCAGTATATAATATTTTATAATATATGGGAAATAAGATAAAGAAGAAATAATCATCTTAAATATATAATGTAATGTAATCCAATTCAATACAATACAATACAATACAATGTCATATAATATAATAAGTGCCAAGGTATTTGCAAAAAAATAAAATCAGATTTTCATGAACTAATGATGCTCGGTTCTTGAATGTCGACACACTCTTCTATAACGCTCAATAAAATAATAAGACATCAATGTTGATGTCTTCACTGGTTGCACACAACAACAAACAAACGACATCCACACAACTAGTAGAGTCCGATTGGCGAGTGAATGATTCTTATGAGAGCATAAACATAGCAAATGCTCAAGCAGTATGGGGCCGATGGCGAGCAGAGCGACTGCCACTAGCAGCACCAAACGTAACTGTGAAAATAATGAATAAAAGCGATCTAAGACCTGCCTGATGCAAGCGTGCTTTGTTCCCCAACAAAAGTGATCCGCTCGCAGCGGAGGGAGCAAAACACTGATGAAGGAAGCGGCGGAGTGAAGGTTGCTAGGAGGGGAGAGCGTATAAATCTGGGCTGTAATCTCACTCTCGCACTCGCTGGCAGCCGTCTCCTCCACTCCTCATCCTCAGCCTACCTGACCACCGGTGTCAGATTAAGTGTCCGGGATTTAATGAAACGGTCTTCGCATTATCGCGCCTGTCAGGGAGGAAGAGGAGGGGGCAGCCTTCATAACGAAGGCTTCTCCAATTACGCCAGGGCTTAGAGGGCCTGACAGGCGTAATGATTCATCTGAGAGAGGGAGAGAGAGAAGATGTGCCCCTCCGATCTTGCTCTCCTCCTCTTTTTAATGAACCAGGTCCCCTCCACGGCTTCTTGGAGGGTGTAAGAACTCTGAAAATGGCGGCAGAGTTGAGGAGCTTGCCCGTAAAAAACACCTCCAGCGTTTATCTAGATCAAGTCTCAGCCTCGGTCAACTCGTCCATGTTCAAATAGCCAAAAACACAAAAATAAAATCATGAGAGCTTAACAAAGCTCCAAACAGATTGCCTTACTTGGCTAAGCAACTCACAGGAATCAGGATGCAAAAGTTTTTCGATAAAATAAAAAAGTAAAATAAAGTAAAGTAAAGTAAAATGAAATAAAATAAAATAAAAAATATGGATGCAAAGGATTTTTGTTGAGAACTAATAATGGCAATAATGATAATAATAGTAATAATAAAAATTATAATATATAATATAACGTAGGCCCAAAGGGTTTTATAAGGTGTTATAATAATAATAATAAAAAATTCAAAATATGGGTCAAAAGGTCTTTTGCTTAATATAATATAATATAATATAATATAATATAATATAATATAATATAATATAATATAATATAATAATAGGTTCAAAGTGTTTTATAAGGTGTTAATAATAATAATAATATAAAATATGGGTGCAAAGGTCTTTTGCTGGGGAAAAAAATAATATAATCAAATATAATATAACAGAAATGAACAAACAGACACATTTTTCTCTACTTTTCTTTAGTGTAACTGTTTGCTTCCCATCCATTATTGTGGTATCAATGCTTTCAAATTTATCCTAAATATTACATAAAGCAACAGAGCAGAGCTTGCTTTGTTTTACATGTTGGTCATATGCTCTCTTCCTGTCTTCGTGGGCTGTTTTTGGCCAAATTAATCTGTAAACCAGACCAGACCACACTAGAAATGAATCTGAAATAAACAATACATATTACAAACTGGATGTCCCTTAAATTCTGTGGGATGCAACATTATAAGTGTTTAAGACTCGTGTTGGTTGGGAGCCCCCATCCAGGGGCCACTTCCCTTTGACACACAGAGGGCCTCTCTTCCCCTTCCTGCAGCCTCTCCTCATCCTCCGTCAAACAAAAATGTGACACAGAAGGCCTCATTGCACACAAACGCCGGCTAATCTTGTTCAGCCCCGCAAATTCCTTGTAGTCACACCATCAGCTCGGACACAAAAGCATCAGCCCTTAAAACGTTCAAACGGGGGACAGAAACATACTCTACACAAGTACTTAAACATTTGGGGTTGTTATGATTTTTTAATGCTTTTGAAGTCTCTTCTGCTCACCAAGGCTGCATTTATTTGATAAAAAAAAACAGAAATATTGTTAAATATTATTACACTTTAAAACAACCATTTTCTATTTTAATATACTGTAAAATGTAATTTATTCCTGTGATGCAAAGCTGAATTTTCAGCATCATTACTCCAGTCTTCAGAATGTACAAAAGAACAGGATTTATTTGAAATAGAAATCTTTTCTAACATTAGAAATGTCTTTTCTCTCACTTTTGATCAATTGAATGCATCCTTGCTGAATAAAAGTCTTAATTTGATCATATGATGTTGCTAAAAAGAACATTATTTTGTGTATTTGGTGTAATGAAATGTGTTTATGCGGTTTAAGGTTAAAAAAACACATATTCACGAACAGCTTGTAACACTCCAAAGAGAAAGGAAAACTTGAAATCGCATCATATGACCCCTTTAAAAAAAATGGTAATGAACAATAGTGTAAATGCTAATGCTTGGCCAATGCATTGCTTGCTCTCTAACAGCAGATAAAGTACAAGCTTACTCTAATGCATGCAACAACACCAGTGCAAAAACACTGAGAAAAATCTCGCCTGCACCACATTATGAACTGCATTTGGCCACATTTCAACACATAAGATCAAGCTTGAGTATCTAGAATCGTTTGCGTTCACATACTTGCGTAGTTATCTCATCAAATGCTTGAACGTCCGATTTTCAGGTCCACTGGTCTAGTGCTTATCTCCCGCTCTGCTTCTGCGCTTGGCACCCAGGGACCTGGACGCCAGCAATTGTGCCCACTGCTGCCGAGTGCCAAGGCAAAATTGATGAAACATCACAGGATTTGAGAATTGGCAGGCTGACACGATGCGGCGAGCCAGTCACAATTAAAATGATTACACGTCCTTCCAAATTTCACCGCTTTCATTCCAATAGTGCTGATAGCAGGAGATTGAGATGGAAAGGCGGAAAAAGCATGATATATTCCTTATATATACTACGCTATGTGGATTGAATGGCAATTCAGTGCGTTTTGATCCAGTTACAGTAATTGAAGCAATAGAAGCAGGACGCAGCACTTCGGAAACGGCCTAAAGTGCGTCGCCGGTTTCTAGTGCTTGGATTCGCTTGTGTGCTTGCCACAGTATATTTTAGACGGAAACACCCAAGAGGGTTTTAAGTGGGAAAAGAATATGCAATATTGATCAAGAGCAAAAACTACGAATATGCAATCTGGCAACGGCAGCATCCTCTAAATGGCCGTCCTCAGAAACGCAGGTGGATTTTAAACGAAGATCCGCACAGACGCTGAGTGCAGTGAAGACGGACTCAAAAAAACACGGGTAGAGAGAAACAACACAAATGACCGGCCCTGATCGCTGCTGAACCACAACTTACACATGTTCCCATACAGATGCCACTTAAGACCTACATGCAATCTAGCAAAATAAGTCTTACATGCAAAAAAAACAAAGATTCAGCCGAAATTCGGGTGCTGAATGCAAAATGTTTGTTGTTTATGTTGTTCTCACCTAACTCATCCCACAGCTGCCGGTATTTGTCCGTCATGGTGGTTCCCTGCTGCCGCCACAGAGCCAGCCGCGGGTCGGCCATGAACTGCTCTGTGATTAGCGTTAGCATGCGAGCGCCATTCGAGTCCCGCATCTTCAGCATCTCCCGTACCTGCAGAACACATGCAAACACACACAAGATTTAAGCACATGCACCAAAAATGCCAAAAATTTATCCAAACCAGACATGATTAACAGTGATGAATCCTCCACGTTTAATGTTAATCTGCGCTTTTGTTGACAGAACATTTTATTAGGTGCTTCATTCAGATTTGAATCATGCAAAACACACTACCATTCAGTAGTGTACCGTTAGTTTGGGGTTGTTCATATTTTTTAATATTTTTATGTCACCTTATCCTCAACCAAGGCTGCATTTATATGACCAAATATTATTACAATTTACAATAACTGTTTTCTATGTGAATATATTGTCAAATGTAATTTATTCCTGTGATCAAAGCTGAATTTTCAGCATCATTACTCCAGTCTTCAGTGTCACATGATCCTTCAGAAATCATTCTAATATGCTGATTTGCTGCTCAACAAATATTTCTGATTATTATCGATGTTGAAAACAGTTGTGCTGCTTCATATTTTTGTGGAAATCGTGATACATTTTCTTTTTCAGGATTCTTTAATGAATAGAAAGTTCAAAAGAACACCATTCATTTTTATAACATAACAAATGTCACTCCTGCTCAATTTAATGCATTTTTGCTGAATAAAATAATTAATTTCTTTCAACTGACCCCAAACTTTTAAACAGTAGTGTAGCTCCACCCACAGTGAAATCTCATTGGTTCAAAATTTCACTCAACTTAGGCATTAAACATGAAATGTTGTTTAATTGGCTTTGATTTTGTAGCATCTTGAAGTATTTTATTTTCAAACAGAATATTTTTTTTCAAGGTTACGTCATGCATGAAGTATTTTGTTGTTCTGTTGAACACAAAAGAAGATATTTTAATAAATGTTGGTAACCAAACAATTTGTTCATTTTTTTGGAGGTGAATGGCTACCGTCAACTGTTTGGTTACCAACATTCTTCAAACTATCTTCTTTTGAGCCAAAAAGAAGAAAGAAACTCGTAGAGGTTTGGAACAACATGAGGGTGAGTAAATGCTGACAGAATTTTCATTGTTGTCTGAACTATCCCTTTAAATCGGTGCTTCAGCCCACCTTTGAGAACAGGAGATTGAGCTGTTTGCCCGAGCCATGGTAGCCCCCCTGGGACAGGAAGAGTTTGACCTGCTCCTGGACCTGCTCCTCGTCCAAATGCCAGCAGTTCTCATCGTCCACGCTGGCCCCCGCCGTGGGGTCCGGGGCCCCTGATTTACAAACATACAACCAAGCGATCAGTGAACAACATGGTGACGCTTATGTTGACCAAATGGGATTTTCGCTCAATAAAGCCCATAAAATGAGGCATTACAGTTTGTAGTCATTGAAAAATCAAAACCAGAGATTATTTATCAGCCAAAATGCTTCAACGCAATTAGTGCAATCAACACAGAGCCTTAATGCAATGCAGAAGCACGCTGGTGTTCGAGAAGAGCGACTGAGGAAAACCCCCAAACAACGGCTGATGATTTAAGTGCCATCGATAACACTGAGGGTCTATAGTAAAGATTTATTAGACGCCACATCAAACCAACTCACACAGGCCCGGCCTGATGAAAGCACTTCCCCCCCCACCCGCG